CACTAACTGCCTGAAGTTAGGAAAAAACTCCCCTCTATGACAAGCTAGTCCGTTATTCTCTCGTGGCTCAGGCATTGGGCACCTGGGCTCTGTCCCCGGGTCTGGGAGGGGAGTGGGGTCTAGTGGTTAAAGCAGATGGGGCGCTGACTCTCTCGCTAAGTGAACGATAAGTGTTTCAATGCAGTTCAGTGTAAATGTAAACATCTAGGAACAAAGCCCATGGGTCGTACTTACAGGCTGGGGGGCTCTGTCCTGGGGTCAGTGACTCTGAGGAAGTTTTGGGGGGCGTGGCAGAGAATCAGCTGAACACAAGCTCCCAGCGTGACGCTGAGGCCAAATGAGCTAATGTGATCCTGGGATGCACAAACAAGGGGATCTGGAGGAGGGGTGGAGAGGTGATTTCCCTTCTGGATCGGGCACTGGTGCGCCCGCCGTGGGGATCCTGTGGTTGGTTCTGGTGCCCACTGTCCGAGATGGATGGTGATAAATTGGAGAGGGGGCAGAGAAGAGCCGCGAGAATGATTAGAAAACCTGCCTGATAGTGAGAGACTCAAGGAGCTCCATCTATTTTGTGTAACAAAGAGAAAGCTAAGGGGTGACTTGGTCCCAGTCTATATGTACCTTCGTGAGGAACAAATATTGAATAAGGGGCTCTCCAGTCTAGCAGAGAGGTCACACACAATCCAACAGCTGGGAGTTGAAGCTAGACAAATTCAGCCTGGGAATGAGGCCTTCGTTTTTAACAGGAACCGTTGGAACAACTTACCAAGGGCTGTGCTGGATTCTCCATCCATCAAGGACTATTTTTAAACCAAGGTCGAATGTGTTTCTACACAATCTACTGTGGGGCAGGTCTCTGGCGTGTGTTAGCCAGGAGGTCAGACTAGGTGGTCACCAGGGTCCCTTCTGGCTTTGCGATCGATGAGTCAGGACTCCGGGGTTCTGTTTGCAGCTCAGAGAGAGGAGTGGGGTCTAGTGAGTGGGGTGGTTGGGGGAGCTGGCAGTCAGGACTCCTGGGTTCTGTTCCCAGCTCTGTGAAGGAAGTGGTGTCTAGTGGTTAGAGCAGTGACTGTCAGTGCAGCCCCTGGCACGATGGAGCCTTGATCGGGGTTGCCATGTCTAAGTGGTACCTTTTGGAGACAGGAGACCAGTCTAGATGGGACATTGGTCTGATCTGGTTTGGCAGTTACCATCTTCAATGTCTCTGCCCCCGGCCTGGGAAATCTCTCCCACAGGTGGGCACGGGGAAGATCGGTCGTTAGTGATTTTTACACGGAGCGTGTTTTAAAGGCGGGAAACGCCTGGAGCGTGAGGGTGGGGCTGGTAAATGGAGAGAAAGAAACATCAAATAAATCCTAGGAAATCCCAGCCACGGATCCCAAAGCACTTTGCAAAGAGCCTAAGGACCCAGCACCAGATGGGGCCTCCGAACTCAGCGACTCCACCCCACTGCCGTCCCAGGCAGCCCCAGCAAGATCCCCGTCATAAACTGATCAGGCTCCATCTGAAAGCTAGTCAGGGTCTTTGCCCCGCACTCCTGCTTGGAGGCTGTTCCAGACCCTCGTTCCTCTGAGGGGTAGAAACCGTCTTCCCTCCCAGCCTCAGTTTACTCATGGGGTGGCAGCGTGGCTTAGTGGATAGAGCACCAGCTGGGGGCTCAGAGGATCTGGGTTCTATTCCTGGTTGCCCTGCTGGGTGACCTTGGGCAAGGCACTTCCTGTGCCTCAGTTTCCCCATTTGTAACATGGGGGTGATGACACCACCCTGCTTTGAGATCTACAGATGAAAAGAGCCGGGGTCATTACTGCTGTCAGCCAGTGGCAGTTTCCTGCAGCTGGGAGTCTATGCATGTTCCCCTTTAGATGCGAACATAAGAACGGCCCTACTGGGTCAGACCAATGGTCCATCTAGCCCAGTCTCCTGTCTTCCAACAGTGGCCAATGCCAGGTGCCCCAGAGGGAATGAACAGAACAGGGAGTCATCTAGTGATCCATCCCATCACCCACTCACAGCTTCTGGCAAACAGAGGCTAGGGACACCATGGGCAAGCACGTTCCATTTTTCAGACGGTTGCTAAGCGCAGCGCCAAACGAGACGTCTCTGAAGAACGTAACCATGGAAAGCAAAGTGCTCCTCAAACCCTAAAGTCACCTAAGCAACCCTGACAAACAAATCACCTTAACTCTGCCCTTTCTTGCTGCATTAGGCCACCATTTTCCAAGCTGGGGGCCTAGAGGTGAGGCTCCTAAATCTGCATTTGGGCACCTAAATAAAAATGTCTATTGAGGAGCCTAAATCTGCACTGAAGAGCCCCCGGGTCTGGCCATTTTGGCCTCAGTCTTTCTTTGGGAGAACTGAAAAGGTGATTTAGGTAGCATTGCATACAGAGAGCCAGCCAGTGGGGTCTAATGGATAGAGCAGAAAGGGGAGCTGGGAGTCAGGACTCCTGGGTTCTGTTCCCAGTTCTGGGAGGGGAATGGGGTCTGGTGGTTGGAGCAGGGCGCTGGGAGCCAGGACCCCTGGGTTCTACCCCTGCCTCTGGGAGGAGAGCACGGTCTAATGGTTAGAGCAGGGAGGGGTCTGGGCATCAAGACTCCTGGGTGTAATCCCAGCTGTGCTATTGTCTCACTGTGTAACCGTGGGCAAGTCCAGCCCCGTGCCTCGGTTTCCCCATTGCTAGAATGGTCCCGAAGTTGCTACGTGTTATTGAGCCTTCCTGGGGCGGCGCTCAGCGTGCTGGTTCCAGCACTAACCAGTCCTGCCTTTGCAGGAGGGACGTAGCTTTCTGCTTCGGGTGAGCCTGAGACACCGGTGTGGGGGGCTGATGGGGCTGGGAAGGGGGTTGCTGGGAGGATGTGGATCCACAGTCCAGTCCTGGGTCTCCATGCTTTGCTCGCTCACACCCATTGGACCCCAGCAGGAGGCCTCTAGCATCCGGCGATAAAAGGCCACGGCACAGCGCGGGGGCCCGGGTCAGCTGACGGGCTTGGACTGCGGGGCCAGAGGGGACCCTCCTGCTTGGGGGGTGTCTGACAAATCCGCCAGGCCCGGAGCGGGGTGCTGCGCTCTGTGGTGTTTCCCAGCCTCTCCGCCCTGCCGGTGTCGCTGCAGCCTGGGCCAGCCAGGGAGCGGGCCCCCTCCAGGGCAGGGCTGAGATCCGCTGGCATGGGCGGGTGCCCCCACTGCGGGGTCATGCGGAAGATTGGATCTGCCTAGACGGATTGATCACGCAGGTTATCGGCTCTCCCTGTCTTAGCCAGAGCTCCCGCCCCGGCTGAAAGGGGTGGCTGCTCCCCTGGGATAGCGGGTGGCACTCGGATGGCCGGGAAGGAGATCAGTGGAAACGGGGGGGGGGGCAGGGAGAATAACCCCCCCTCGGATTTCCCAAGTCTGGGCAGGTGCCCAGCTACCTCATCCTCCAGTCACTGGATCAGACTGCGCTGAGTCAGCTGGTGCCCGTGACTCACGGGACGGGGGCTCCCTGGGGCCCAGGTGCCAGGGCACGCGGCCAAGGGAACAAGCCCGAATTGGCCAGGAGGGAGAGGAGATGGCACATCCTAAGGCCCTGGCTGACCTCTGAGCAGCTGAGTCACCAGCAGCCGCTGGGATGGGGGCCAGTGACCCGGGCTCTGGCTAAGGGGGCGGTAGCTCCTGACGTGGTGGATCCAATCTTCTGCAGGACCCCCAGAGTGGGGGCAACAGCCGGGACAGCCCCCACCCCCAAGCCAGTGTATCTCAGCCCTGCAGGGAACCCCTCCTCTTTTCAAGGGAGTCTGTGAGTCCGACCCGAGCCAGAGGCTCAACAAACTCATTTCATGCC